TTCTAAGAGCCAAATATCTTTGGACATAATCATTCGGAAGAGATCTTATGGTCTTGAAGACTTCTGCATTTGCATAACGTAGTTTCGTTCTTGGGTCAAAGTAAGGAGCCTGCACAAAGAGTTCGTTTTTATCTTTTTACGTTGAGTTCACAAATTTACTATCCATGAAAAGTTAACCGGCTCATATAACTATGTTAGTCGATTCAAACTCAATATGTTTGGTACTTTCTCGAAATAACTGAAAATAAAGAAGCAAGCATTCATTCTGCACACCATAAATTATACACTGTGGCATTATTCACTTTCAGGTCCTCGATAGTTCAGTATTAAGAGAAATAAATAAAGTGGTTTGGAAAAAGAAAAGACGTAACATTAAATTAAAACAAATAGCTCTTATTGCTGTTCAAATTGCAAAACATGAACAAAACAATTACGGGTTTTCTGTAGTTTCGTGAGTCACTTTCTTCCATTTGCTTAATAAGCTAATCTGGATTTATGTATTATTCGGATATATAAGACTCCGAATGGTAATGTTACATGTAAATTAACTAAATACACACGTTCAGGCAATCTAATCAGCGAAATTCACAAGTAGAAGCTTCCATTATATGATAAGATATAACGGCAGGAATACCAGCAACCACAAAGAACATCTAAGAACAACTTTAAAGTAGAAGTTCCAATTTTTTATCCTATCAACTATGTTAAAGGCCTATAGTATTCGCTTAACCTGAAAACAAGTAAAAGAAGGAATAAAGGAAAAACATACCTCATATCCAGTGATATCACAGATTCTTTTGCACGGATGCATTGATGGTGGTGACTCAATGTTAACATCTGAATAATAGGTAAAACAGTTGCTCATCAACTGAACGAATTTCGCAATATAGAATACTGCTCATAACGTATCAAAAAAGCGGCAAATACAACAGACTTCAAGCATGAATTTTGTTCTTAAGCCACATCACAGAGCCAAGAAAAGTATTCACACACTTTCAAACATATATGATCAAATCCATCACATTGTAAGAAATACACCATCTTGCTCTATTGGTCATGGCCTTAAAGCTCTGTACTAATCTTTTATCCACAGATCAAAGGGTACTTTTAACAAACAAATAAAAGCTAAAATCATAAGTTAAAGATGATACTCACAATTCGGTTCGTCCGCCGGATAATTCTGGTAATTCTCAGCTTGAATAATCTGCTTGAGATGTTTCCACCTGGCTCTGGCTTGGCCCTTTGGGTACTTCTCGTACATTTGAATCTTCTTAAACTTCATGTGTGTTGGCAGCACCATTTCCGCTTCAATAACTTCGGGTTCCATTTTTTTTTCAACCGCACAGCTCTAAGGTAAGATTAAACCTGAGCATACACAAAAAAAAAAACTAAAATTTGAATGCATAAAAGTTCGAAACATCAAATTTGTAATCGATCTGATAAACAAAGACACCTAAACTATCTCCATGAAAATCAAAAATACGACACAGAGATTGGAATGGAATATATCAAACCCTAAATTCAGAAGCATCCCCAATTGAGGGGGTTTCACAGTACACACAACAAAGGAAATCGGAGTAAGTGAATTGGCACGAGAGGAGAACGGAGCTTAACTAAGCTTGGGCAGTGGCAGGCTCAGGCGTGGCTTGGCTTCGGTGGCGGTGCGCCGGTTAAAAGCAGCATGGGGAGGAAAAGGTAGAGCAGAGAACCAGGGGAGATTGGAGCCCGGAGGTGATTGATTGAAACTATTCGGTTAATTGATGAGTTAGATTGTTTAATAATTAATTACTAACAAAGTTGTCAGGATGGCCGAGTGGTCTAAGGCGCCAGACTCAAGTTCTGGTCCTCGTGAGAGGGCGTGGGTTCAAATCCCACTTCTGACATTTTTTGCATGATTTTTTTTTTTAAATATTTTTTAGATACAAATCAAGTAAATCATATTCAACTGTAATTTTTTATTTTTTCTTATATCAATGAATAAATATGTATTCTAAAATCAAACAAATATTAGTATGACGTGTTAGCGGAATTATATATTAATTAACATGTTATTTTTTTGGCTTAAATAAAAGTCACTTATTAAAAGATGTGAAATTTGAATGATCCAAGTCTATTGTTTTTTTGTCTAGACGTACAAGTCCTATAGAAATAATTGATTTATTATATGTATCACGTGCATCGCACGGGGTATGCACTAGTCTATATAAAAAGCCATCCTATTTATTAAATTTAGTAACAAGAAAAGTCAAAAGATAATTAATGCATTCTATTTTTATCATTTTTCAATTGTATTATTATTTTATAGCTAAAAAACCGGACTGTATTAATTCCATCAATAATTGATATGTTTTGCAATAAAATCGGACATATAGACTTCAAGTAAAAACATGTCTCATTTCAAATTTAAATTTAAATATTAAAATATCGTATCATTTTATTACATTAAAATCCTGAAAGAATTGCTTGCCATAAAATCAAAAAAATAATAATTGCATAGATTTAAAATAAAATCATGTCTCATTTAAAATTTCAATTTTAAAATTTCTTATCATTTTGTTACATTTCTGGATGATTTGTTTCCCATAACATCGGACGAACTTAATAATTGCATAGTATTCAAGTATGATTTTGAATTTATATCAAGGATGTTTAATAAATGCATAGAATTTCAAAGATGTTTATTTATTATAAAAAAAATAAATTCTAAAATGACATTTGTGTATATTTTGTAAAATGTTTGTACAAAATGTTTTACTTTAAATTTATTTACATAATTTAAATTAATTATATAATAAATAATATTAACATACATTAAATATTTTAATTACATAAAACAAAAAGAAGAAGAAGAAGAAGACTACATCTATAATCTGTATAAATAATAATAATGACATTATATTACCATAAATTTTATAATAAACTAATATGAGTATTATACGAGGAACAATATTACGTAAAATTGTTAGTTTTCTTATATCAAGATATGAAGGAATAAATATATAATGAAATCAAATTTATATTATTATAAACATGTGAGCTAGATAATATATTAATTTTTGCGCTAGCGCTACTAGGCTCAGGTCTAATTTCTAGACCAAAAAAAAAAAAGAAAAAGAAAAATGAAGTTGATGAAAAGAAGTAAAAAATAGATGATCAAACGCTATTATTTTTTAGGCGTGAACGGACGAAATCTATGGTCCACTCATTTAATATCTTTCCCGTGAATCGCACGAGCTACTTAACTGACAAACTACGTGGAAATGACTTATTTAATACTTCTGTCTCGTGCATCGCACGGGCTACGTACTAGTAATTATGTAGAAACTACACTCACATCTTCTATAACTATAAATCTTACTCCTATTAATTAATTATTTTATCAATTTTATATTTTAACTCAGACCCACGTCGCGATTAGCGTCTTTTCCCATTGCAAAAGCAAACTTTGGTTGGTTTTTCCTTTTACCTCTCAAAGAGCTCCTAAAAATGTCGCCGCTTCCTGGACTGTACTCCGGCAAGAGCTCACTTGCTCTGGTAATCTCAATTCCTAGCTCCGATCCGTTTGTTATGCCTATGTTTTCACTTACTGTTTGTTTAGATTCGTGATTAATTTTCTGATTTCCCCATGAATGGCAGGTGGCTAGGGTTTCGGCTTTCACGTTCGGACTCGCATATGGGAGCGTAAAGCTTAGAATCCTTAAGGTATATTATCCCCTTCTTTTCTTCTTCTAGATGCTGCAGTACTCTGATTTTGCTTGGGTTTATTTGAGAAAGTTTCATTATTGAAGTAAAGTAATTAGTGTCAGATTTATGTTTGTGAGGTTAATTTTGCTTTAAGTTGAACAGGATGAAGATAGGTTGAGCTCTATATAGTTTCAAATGTAAATTAAAATGCGTAGATATGTTCGTGAGGTTAATTTTGCTTCGGAGTCTTTTGCAGGAGCGTAATAGGTTAATGTTATCACTTAGTTTCTTACGAAACACGGGATATTGCTAAATGTATAAGAATAGTAATGATTCGGTAATATAGTCACCTGAGTTGGATTGAAGTTTTCTCAGTATTTAGCTGATTTGAGAATGAGTATGATCGAGTATAGAGTAATAGGCATCGATAAGGAACTGATTTCCTAGGATTGGTTTTTGATTGTTTGGCTTTAGTATTAGAATTTTTATTTGAATGTGTGGTAAACCTAATTGATAAGCTAGCTTATAACTTTGTAATGAATTTCGAGATTATGGCTGATAACTTATGACTTATGGCTGAAAAGCTATGATAAAAAGTGTTGGGCAAAATTAGTTGATAAACTAGTTGAAATAAAAATTTCAATTGACTAATTTGAAAAGCTATCTATTCAAGGAAACTTATGAGATAAGCTTGAGCTTTTCAAAAAAAAGCTCGCCCTACCAAACCAAACTTATTTGAATACATGAAGCTTATAAATTAATCAAATAAGCTATAAGCTAGCTTATATGACACAACCTAAACAACCTAAACAGATTTACTTTTCTACAATTGTTTATGTCCCCCTAAAAATGCTATTCTGTAGCAACAATTCTATCAGTGCAAAGTGCAAAGTTGTGATGCTGTTTGGATAAAGTTTCAACAATACCAAGATTTACACGTGATACTAAATGTTTGAGTTCTTAATTTGTTGAGTACGTAAATGGATATGAATGCTATGTGATTGACCTCATTTGGACCGATAAATGTGCTTCCTATCCATTTTAGCGTTTGCTGATCTGTTTATTTTGTCGTGATGGGTGACGAAAACTAAGTTCGGTTTTTCCTTATTTTACCAGGCAAAGGCAAAGTCTCATAGGAAAGCAGAAGCTAAGGGGCACCATTAGAAAAAGCAATTTTGTTCTTTTTTTTTGTTCGATTGTAATAATG